CCAAGACTGAGCCCAAGGTGTGGTTACCGCTGCAGGGAGGGCGACACCCTCCTTGCCCCTCGGGTGGGCTGGAGCCCCCCAGTGCTGGTGCTTGCATTGGGCAAGACAGGACACCCACGGCACTGGTAGTTGTGCAGAGGACTTGTTTTCTGACCGCCCCAGCCAGGTCCCACCTGCAGCCAGCACTGAGCTGAGTGGCCGCCTCCTGGGAGGGGGAGCAGCTGTGAAGGCTGCCAGCTACAGACGGGCCTTGCGCCGACGGCAGCGTATAGACTCCATGCTCAGCGTTCCCCAGGCCATTTCCCCATGTGGAGAGGTAAGTCGAGACCAAGGCCTTGCGTATGGTGCGTGCACTGCTCTGTTTGTTAACTGTTGTAGAGGGGCCAGGGGCCTCTGTAAATTTTTAGAGGCGGCATGATGACTAAGGGGCTAGACTCCCACATGGGCAACCACGGTTTGAGTCCTGGACCCAGTGGCTTGAAAATCATTCCTGTGCATGTGTGCCCAAAATCCTGAAAGGAGAAAGGGGGAGAAGGGGGTGACGGCATGGCCATCCCCCCTGGAGGGCAGGTATTTCTCATGTTCCCTCTCTCTGGCGAGCATACATGCCCTATAGCCAAAACAAAATATGTGTGTGTGTGCGTATGTGTGTGTGTGTGTGAAACCCCTCTCGTGTTTTTGAGGTCGGGCACACAGGACACGGGACACTGTTGAGTGTACTGAGTGTACTGAGCTGTGTAGAACTCATGTGTCCCCACACCTGTGACACGCTGTGAGGTTGGGCAGTTGTACACTTTCTAGCCTGTGTGGGGCACCAAGAGACCACCAAGAGCAGCAGTGACAGGCTGGCTCCTGCCCAGGCCGAGCCTCTGCCGCTCAAGTCACCACCGTGGCTTCCAGACGATGCCTTGGGCAGTGACAAATGAGGGGCCCATGGCTCTCATCCAGTGATGGCCAGCATACCTTGTACCCTCCTCACGAACGTGAAACAGTCTCACGGCTAAACTAAAAACTGATCCTAGCATCCCGACCCCAGGTGGGCTGGCCTTCTCAGGCCCCTGCAAGAGGCACGCCACCCAAGTACCTCTGGAGGCTGGAAGCACGTCGCCTGGCCATGCCTTTACGCCTTTACGCCGTCTTTTCTCACGTGTCCTACTCAGTAAGTCTTGTTTACACTAGAAACTGCACGCTTTCATCCACTGAACTCAGGTAAAATGAAGCATGTCTATCTGGAGTTTATGGATTCTATAGAAGTTCACTGAGTGGCCAGCAGGTGGCGTGAGGTTAAGGCACTGGATCTCACATGGCTGGCTGCATGGTTCCAGTCCTGGGTTGACAGCTTGGGAAGCACACTGAGTGAGTGTGTGTGCATGCCCAAAATCCTGAGAGGAGAAGGGACCACTGTGTGGCCATCCCCTGGGGGGTGATTTCTTCCTCCCTCTCTGTCTGCTGAGAGCATGCTTGGGAATAAAGATACACATGGTGTGTCTGGTAGAA